TCGGGGGAACGGTGTTTGCACGCGAAAAAAGTTTAGTCGACGGAACGATGAAGCGACAGGATGACAAGGCGAGAAAGGATGGTCGTGGGATAGAATCGCGCAACCCGATGGGGAATGAGAGTCGGCCGGTCGGTGACCCAATTCGGGCGGCGGGCTTTTTCCAACGGCGCGAAAGTTGAACGTGACCGGGGAAACTTTTCGTGGTCGTGGCAATCGAGTTGTCGCGCCTCTCTCATCCGAGAAGGAGACGACGGTAGCGCGTTCCTTCACCCTCGCGCCTCCTCGGACCTCCGTCGCCGCAATCGCAACTACCCCCGATTCGGCTCGTCCCAACGATCCGTTTCAACTTTGTCGCGCCACCCCGTGACCCGGCGCCGTTTATCGGCTAACCGAGAATCCAACTTTTCATTGTCGCGTCTTACGCCTTCATATATTTTTCTTCCTTACATTCGAAAGTGCGTTAAACTTTGAACAGATCGAGAATCGGACAAGAGACGTCTGCGTAATCTGGGTTTCTCGCGAGCTCGCAACAGACTCGCCTATCGTACGTACAACGTACTTTCGTATCTTTCTGCTCGAGAGACAAGAGGCTACCTTTTCTAGATTTAAGGATACGGGAAAGAGAGAAGAAAAATGAAAGAAAGAAGAGCGAATGAGCAAAAGCAGTAGTAGAAAAAAACGTAAAGTGTAAAGTAAATTATCGTCGAACTCGGAGTTGGCTCGATCGACGACGATGACCGATTTTCGTCTTTGCGGTTTCGTCGGTGTTACAAAGTAGAAAGTAAGTCTAGACTCTGACGTTCGTTAACTTGAAAACTAGAGTTCCGACTTCCTGCTCGAGATTACGTCCTACATCCTTTGGTCGTCCAACGTGCTTGAGAATACTCGAGCCAAGTTTTCGCCGGCGAAACTTTTTCTTCGAGGGACTGTCTCGAAAAGATCGCGATCTTCTTCTATCGATCATCGTCGGCCACGAGCAGGAAATAATAACCATTGACTGGCAGCCTTGAAGTGGACGTGGCCAACGTTGTTTTCATTTACGGCGACTTCAAACGCCTTGCTTTTTTTATTTCCCTTTGTTCCCCTTTGTCGCAAGCTAGACGATCGAATACAAGGTTTTTCGTACATCGATGACAGGAATCTGCGTGCTTGAGTTGCGGAAAAATTTGACGAACTCCGCGCAATTTCTCTCGGCGAGCACCGAGCGCGAAAATATATCAGGAACAGAAGAAAAACGAAAGAGACGAAAGAAGAAGTATGTATTCAGCGTCGAAGAGTATCGTAGCAGTGACCTGCGAAAAGATTGGGGAAGCCGGCTAAATGCGTGAGTGGGACAGGGATGCAAGCTTGACGGTTGTCGATGTTGGTGGAAGTGGGAAAGGAGGTGGCGGAGGTTAGGGTTGGTAGTGGTGGGAACTATAATGAGTGGCGGCTGTGTCGGGCGAAGGGAAGAGGACGAGGATGAGGGCGGTGTGCTCGAGGGTGTGGGTAAGAGTGAGGGTGAGGGTGAGGATGAGGGTGAGGGTGAAGCGGAGCGAGAATGAGCCAGGAGAGCGTGAGG